CATGTCCTTCGTGTCTCTCTGCAAGGATATAACAGACATCTTTAAAATTAGAGTAGAGCTGACCTTCTTGGTCATTGAGTGGTATCCTATCAAACGCCTTGGTAGCTAAAATAAACAGTAACAATCTGCAAATATCTCATATTTTATTTCGGATTAAAATATTTTATTTTAGAAAATCTTAAACATGCTGCATAAAAAAGATTAAAACTACATTTTTGAAGAACATGAAATCATAGGTGGTCTTTTAATGCCTTTTTTAAACAAAGCACATTCAATTAGATTAATGTTGCAATGCTACCCTCAATTAAGCCAATTATTAAAATGGTTAATTTCTATGTTTACCTATATATTTATTATATAATAGATTGAAATCAGTTCAATTACTTAAATTACAGATTTAAATAAGCAAAAATGGACAAAAAAGATCTATTTATCTAGTTCTGTGGCTGATATCAGACACAGTGGCTAAAAAAATATACGTATATATGGATCCTTAAGTTTAGCCATAATTTAGTTACATTTAAAAATGTCCTTTCATTGGAAATTTGCCACACAGTTTTTAGGTATCCTCTAACATCTTAAATCATACATAAACTGTATAATCATTTTTCACGGGGGCACCAAAAGCATGACACAAAAAAAGATGGCTGTAGTTATAATTTGAAATATATTAAATTAGTCCCAGAACCAAAGAGCCACTTGTTGCTCTGAGCTGAACTGACATTTTGACGTCATTTAGATAATGAAATAAAATGTTGTGCTGTTCCAAAGAAATATTTGTATTTTTTGCTTTCAAAATGTTAATTTTACTTCACCTAAAATTATAAAAGACCCTCACCATGGAAACAAAAAGCAACTGAAGTAAATATTTGCTAAATAAACACTTAAATTCAAGTCAAAAAGCAATAGTGCTGTGAATTGGTGAATTAGGCCTCATTGGCTGAGCAGTTTATAGAGTGTGGCTGTGATGCAGCCACACTAGTTTTTAAATGTAAAAACTAAAGATCCAACACTTTAGAATGTTTAGAACATCAATCTGTTTTTAGACAATAAATAAAGTTGGACCAAATTAAAATACTGGGTTTTAAAAAAGTATATTCTTAATCCTTATATTAAAGATTAAAGATAAAATACAGCTATTCTTTAGAAAATAATGTCAATGCATATTGCGCAATCCAGGAATATGGCATATTTTTGAATGATTGAAAATGAGCAATTTTAACTGATAGGAATTAGAACTTAAGTAAACCTGATCAATTACCGGTAACATTTAACAAATCAAAGTTGGTTCAAAGAAGCATTTAACAGATGAAAACGATGATCCTACCTCAATCATCTTAATTTTCAAATTACAATTAAAATAAAATTTATTGGTTTCTATCAATTTCTATTTCTCCTACAGCAGATATTGTAAGAAATTAGTGTTCAGTACAGGGGCCATGATCAGTTCTACAGGGACACCAGCCCCATTTGGCCCCAGATTAGAGCTGCCCATCCATGAGTATAATGCTATTTCTTTTAATCTGTTTACATCCTCCCTAATTTGTATGCTTGAAAGATAAATGGGTCATTGTCAGGCCCAGATTGTCACAGTACGTTTTTCAATCCTTTTCAATTATTCCTCTGATTGCAGATATACGAGCAGCTATTTTCCTGCAAGTGTTTTCTGACTTATGAAGATCAACACAAATGCATCTTAGATATGTTCTTTATGTACACACTACCTTATCAGCCCTGAAATTTTAAACAATTGTATTTTTTTTTAATCATCTATTTATTGTTTTCACTACTCTTGTTCTTGTTTTTATTGTACATTTAAAATTTAATCCCTTAGATCAGAAATGTATGTTTTTCTTTTATCTTATCTGCCCACTTATAGTATGATTACTATGAGTGTGTGAAGAGCTCTACAAAGAAAGACTGATTCATTAAGTGAATAGAATATTAATATCTTTATTGTCCCACAATGGGGACATTGAATCATGACAGTGGAAAAAAAACATGTAGACAGAAGAAAACCAGACTTACACATTAGACTAAATTATAAAAATAAGAAGAAAATAACAGTTAAGCTCTGAAAGAAATAGAATAATTAATCTGAAAGTAGAAATAATGCTTTACTGATGATACCTATCATTGGATAACACAGCATATTCAGGTGCAAATGCAACATGCAGGTCAAATGGAAAAAAGACAGCATATGCAAAGAGTGATATTTCCAGAACAATGAAAAAATAAGAAAATATAAAACTGTGCAAAAAGCATGACTGTACAAACGCTCCAAGAAAACCTAAAAAGTCTGCAAATGGACATTAGCATCTGAAAGTCAGTGTAAATGGTTATTAATCAGATCAGGAATCTGTTGATCCACTAGCGTATTTGCAAACACTGAGTTTGATGGAAGCAAACTCCCACCAAGATCATAAAGTCTATAACCAGTTGGGAGGAGGGATCTTCAGAAATGCTCATTTCAGTATCTAGGACTCAACAGTCAGTAACTGAAAGAGTGCTCTATTGTTGCAAGATTCATGGAGAGTAAAACAGAGTCCAACTGTCTTATTTTCTCTTGCAGTCCCTCTGTTTCCCACCACCTGCACTGTGTCCAGGTTGCTTTCCAGGACAGAGATGATCCCCTTTATGAGCCTGTCCACCACTTTGTCTGAACTGCAGACAAGCTGCTGCTCCACCATACCACAACACAGTGGCTAATTCAATTCAATTCAATTTAGTTTATTTATATAGCGCCAATTCAGAACACATGTCATCTCAAGGCACTTTACAGTTCAACCAGATCATACAGTCAAATTGATTCAGAGTTTTCTATCTACGGAAAACCAGTTGATTGCATTGACTCATTGACTCAAATGCAATCCCTCACACTAAGCATGCTTGGAGCGACAGTGGAGAGGAAAAACTCCCTTTTAACAGGAAGAAACCTCCAGCAGAACCAGGCTCAGTGTGAGCGTCCATCTGCTGAGGCCGACTGGGGTTCAAGGAGACAGAAGCAGAGACACAAAAAGCAGCTGCAAAAGGCGGCCCCGTCCAGGAAACATACAACCAGGCAGACGAGCTCTGAGCCAGCTCCCATGTCAGAGGATGAAGAGAGCACATCCAGTCAGTCACAGTCAGAGAAACAGGACTACACTGGAAAACAGGCCAATCTCCAGCATCTATAAACTAGGGTGTTGATGGAAGCAGCACAGCTGATATTTCTCTCCAGGATGATGTCACAGCCAAACAGGAACAGACAAGGCAAAGCTACTATGAGAAAAAGCAGAGAGAGCAAAACGTCAGAGATTGAACTAACTATTCTAATGCCACTAAGAAGTCAAAGAGGATCTTTAGCAGCCATTAGTCTCCTTAGTATGGAGAGTCTGCTCAGACCTCTCTTGTAAAGAGCACCACTATTGTGACTCCAGTCCTGTTTATTATTCAAATAGAAAATCTTAAATTTTACAGTGATTAATAAAAATGCCTGCAGCATTGAATGTAAATAAATAAAAGCATGGTTGTATAACGCCAAGAGTCATGTGAATAAAATCAGAATGAGTGTTTGGGGAAAAAGGAATTCCACATATTTTTTCTGTTTATACACAGGCAGGTCAGCAGTACTGACTTACATGGGGTGTGCATCAGTAATATGCCATTTACACAGTCTAGCTGGCTACACTATAGTTATTCTGTGAATGAAAGGATTGTTAGCTGTAGAAATTGTTGGCTTACAGAAGTGTAACACTGTCCTTGTAGAAATAAAAATATATCACAATATATCATTTTAAAGAATTAACACAATTGCTTTATATTAGGCTTACTTTATATCAATATTATCTTGTATGAACATGGTAAGTTTTGATTTAGAATTGGATTCTGTTCCTTTTCATTGTACAAAAAAAAGCTAAATTAAATTTAAGTAGCAGTTCTAAAAAGGCAGTGCAGGAGGAAAAAAAGCTGAATAAACATTTATCATGTAGGGAACTGTGTGGGTATTGCATTGGTTCTCGCTGTATAACACTTTCTCCCACAGTCCAAAAACATGACTTTTAGGTTAATTAGTTTTTCTAAGTTGTCCTGTAAGTGTGCATGGTTGTAAGTCTTTGTGTGTCCTAATTATCTTGCCTTGCGACAGATTGGCGACCAGAATGGCAACCTGTCCAGGGTGTACCCTGCCTCTCGCCCGTAGACTGCTGGAGAAGGGCACCGGCCCCATGGAGACTCTGACAGAATAAGTGGGAGAAGATGGATGGATGGAAATGTTACATTTCTAAAAACAGAAAAAAAAAAGAAGAAAAAAAACATACAGTAGCAACCATTCAAAATGGCCCTTCCCAGTCAACCCCCAGCCGAATGGCAGTCATTGGAGTGACCCACTCCTTCTCCTGGGCGTGCATATTTTTTTTTTACTTTCACTTACTTACAGGCTCTGACCAGGAGAAGGTGCTTCTCTTTAGAGCTTAATGTGCACAGATCATGACAGAAAGAATATTTTAGTACAAAAGATTGATGTTTAAGTAAAGAATCTTAGTGGACTAGCCAAGGGCCCAACAATGAAAGTAGAAACTTTTTGAATGGCTACTAAAAAATACTCTCTTTCTATTATAGACAGGGAGTATTTTTTATTTATTTATTTTTAATATGGTACAATTTACAGCACCATGTGCTCAGAAATAAATAATGTATATGTACATTTTGAAAATGATAATGCTGTCTTGCAAGATTATCCCTTAAAATTTGGGAAAAGAAAATATGCATTAGAAATAAGTAATGTATTTGTTTTTCTTGAAAAATGAGTTTGTTATGCATTTTGCTTTTTATTTCAAGTTGTTTATATTTAGTCAGCTTATCCTAGCTCTTCCAATAAAATGTTTATAAAGTTTCTCTGGGAAAGTTTAAAAAGTTGAGCTCTCAGAGCACAGAATAGATGTTTCGGGGGGGAAAAACCAAGGGAGTCTGACCTCGCGAGACTTGGCTGCGAGAACGTCTCTCAACGTCACGATCTCGTGACTAATCCCGGAAGAAGGGGATTCATGTTAAGAGGAACAGCAGTACAGAAAGAAACGGCTTTAAATATCCCCCATATTTCCTTTTTTAGCCTCTTATCCACTCAGATATGGACACTTCCACCCGAGCATCGTTAGACTCGTCTGCTGGACCTCCTCCGTATTTTAGAGGGTGAGCAAACAGACTTTGATCAGGAAACCGTTAGTAAACAAACAGCTCGGGGATGTGCGTAGAATAAATCCTTCACCTTAGCTTTATCCCCGGTTGAGGGCTGATGTCGCATCAATAGCAGCCATGTTATCCCTTATGGGGAAACCTAACAATAGCTTTGTTGTGTCTGTTTTGGTTCTGTAACGTGAGCTCTTGCCCCTGCAGAAATGAAGGCTCCCTGGTCTCTGCCCTGAAGACGCTGCTGTTCTTCACCATCCTCATGGTGACGCTGCCTATTGGCTTATACTTCGCATCCAAGGCTTACATCTTTGAGGGTAAAATATTCTGTTCTGTAATCTAATTGTTTGTTTCACAGTCTATGTCGTCCATTCATTAAAAAGGTATGCTGCAAAGCCAAATTGCACTGCAAATTTGATGAATAACCACATAATTAACTAAAACTAGAAAAGTTACATTACAGGGTAAGTAAAGTTTCATGATTTGCACTGATGTATTGAGCATCAGCACGTCTTATGACCATCTATGGGATAGTGTATGTTCTGCAAGGGGACAATAGGGGAAAAAAGTGGAATTTGTAACCCTGAGTACATAACCCATAGTAGATTAGGCACGTGGTCTTTTTACATTTGTTACATAACTATAACTATAAAACTTTAACTGAGCTTGTTTCCTTACCCAAAAGCTTCTCCTATCTTCTGTTTTGCTGCAAATATTGCTTCTCCCACTTTATTTGTTAAAGTACCAGTAGTATTGCTAGTAATGTTCTAATTAGAGTAACAGTTTGAAAGCCAAACGGATTGTAACCAGGCAGAAGCCATTTAGTTTTTTGAACTCCTAAACCGCACATCTTTTTCTGATTTTAAATTCCCTGGCTTCTATAATCAGTATTCTATTATTATAATTATTGTTTCTTTAACTGTCAATAATATTTGAAACGTATGTACAAATATAACATAATCTGCAAAGTGTGGCTTGTTTAATGTCAAGTAAATTATTTAATCTCAACTGGGCTATTGTGATAATCTGTTTTTCTTTAACAATAGTCCTGAAATATTTTGTAGTCTGACCATGGTCTTTTTAACCCTGTAATGCCAAATGTATCGTATTTGATACAAACGGTTTCTGAAATGTTTTGCATCTGACACCTTTTGCATAATTTAATGGTAAAAACTTTGCTCAAAATCCAATTGTACACAATCAGATATACCTGATAACAGAGGGCAGAAGACTACATAAAAAACAATCTTGACTTATCGCATAGTAATAAATTATTAATATCAAAAATGTATTTCTGTTTTTTCTTTTTACATATTTTGTTTAAAGGGCTAATAAGGAATTCAAACCAAAAAAAGTAATTTTCTGTTTTGTTTTATTCTTGGATCAGGCTTTAAAGGGTTAAACAATGATCAGACATCCACAAACTGCTCTTTCCACGTCGTTTGATGCCTAAAAAGGGCAATTTGGTTACATGAATATGATTTTTTTTTTAAAGTTTTTATTTATTCTATAAATGCATACTGCTTTACTGCATAATAGCAACAGAATACACTGCCTGGCCAAAAATGTATTTCGTTGCACCACCTTTATCTTTGAATGCAGCACTTGTTTGCTGTAGTATTGTTTCATTAAGGTTATGAAATGTCACTAGATTTATTTCCAACCTGTGTTGCATTCATTTTGCACCAAGATCTTGCATTGAAGATGGTAGACTGATCATTCTGCAAAGCCGTCTCCAGCACATAATCAGGGATTCTCCTTGGGGTTAAAGGGAAATGCCTTTTTTTTTTTTTTTTTTCATTGGGCCCTTGAATTTATGTTATTACATCATGTTGTACTCACCCATATGAGTTTTGTGTCATTTGGAATGTTCTGAAGATATTCCGTTTTGTCCAAGCAACGTCTTCCTATGGGCAAACGACTTGAAGGCACAAACTAAACTGTTCATAATTTATTCGTTTGGTATGCCAGCATTGATAACATGTAGGTGAATCACTCCCCCAGACATCTGCGGTTATATTTTTTGTATTTATATTTTTTAAAAACAAAGCAGCGCCTGTATGATGTCATCCACGCGTCGGACTGGAGTTGTGACAGACAGCCAGGCCACAGGCGGCTACGCTCTACCCCTTATATTAATTCGGCTAGCTAATCTGAATCGTTCAATTCCATTTGAAGAGCGAGATCATCTGTGGTAGGAGCACTAGAAATCTTCCAGGCATGTGAGGAAAACTAGCAGCAGTTCAGCAGACAGGATAATTGAACGGTAGCCGGCGCGCGGATGACATCATACACACTCCGCTTTGTTTTTAAAAAATATAAATATAAAAAATATAACCACGGATGTCTGGGGTCAGTTATTCGGCTACATGTTATGAATGCTGGGGTACCATAAAGAATACATTATGAACAGTTTAGTTTGTGCCTTCAAGTTGTTGCCCAAAGGAAGACGTTACTTGGATATAACCTAACGGAATTTCTTCAGAACAGCTCCAAATGACACAAAACTAATATGGGTGAGTAGAATATGATGTAATAATTTAAAGTCAAGGGTTCAATGTAAAAAAAAAAAAAAAAAAAAAAACGCTGTTCCTCTTCAAGATCTCAAGTCTGTGGTGGACAATCCATGTGTGAAAATCCTGTCTGATGCTCCCTGAACAACTCTTTCACCATTTGAGCCCTGATAAATCCTGGTATTGCCATCTTGAAGTATTCCCTTGCAATCGGGGACAAAACAAAACAAAAAAATAAAATAAAATAAAATGACGGACCTCATTCTTTGAGCTCAGACTCTTACTGAGCCTGTTAGTGGTTTTCTTAACGCTACAAAGTTCTCTCCCGTTCTACTGTCGTTTTACTTTGATTTTATTTCAACCATTTAAGGGATTTAATAACTGATTATGATCATTTTGATTTATTTCTCCCCTAATGACAATCCTTCCAGTTCTTTATATTACATTGGGCAGTTCTTTACACAATTTGCTTGTTTCTGCTTGATGCATCTCAATGTTTTGACCTTACTTTTCCATGGCTAGAGGATGTGTTCTGTGGTTGAAACAATTTCCGTGTGAGAAACAATTTATTGAACCAGTTGGGGTTAAATATTTTGTTTTCAGCTGAAACATAATTGCAATAAAGTAATTAATCAATAGGAGGCTTGTACCAATCTGTTCACTTAAATCTAACAACTTCATTTCCCTTTGGCCAGGCAGTGTATAAATGCAGAGTATCACTCCGTACCATTGTGACATCACCAGGGCCTTCCAAAGCTAATGGAGGCAAATAACTGTTTAAAAAGCAAAATATAGATTTAGGCTGTGCCTCAAAAATTAGCTTATTCATTGTAAGAAATCCGCAAGAGCCCCCTGGAGTCACCCAGTCTAATAATGTTAAAAGATATTTAAAGCCTAGAGAGAAGTAGGCATATTTATGTTTAAAACATTATGCATGAATAATGGATAATTCTTTATTTTAGTTAGATTCATTCAGATCTAATATCTTGTAATAAGTCCTAGGAGGCTCTTTTAGCTCAGTGACGATTACAAAATTATTTTTATTTGCTGAATGCCAGAATAATGACACACATGAGGTTTTGTTGCTCTCTAAGTATATTGAATATAACACACTAAGATTAAAAAGGTCTTTAAAAGGGCCAGGGAAACCTAAAGGCTGATGGTATTACCCAGTTAGCTTCTGATTATTCTAAAATGTAAAGCAACACCTCAAACGCACTTCCTCCAGATGTCGCCTAGTGGGAAATTGCCAACAAATTTGGAACCTCGTAGGTCTGATTCATCATAGGGTACAATTCTGTTAGATGCCTGAATGTGCTGCTTCAAACTTTATTTCTCCTTTCAGTCATACATTATTATAAACAGCCGATATATGTGTGTTTATATATACATACAGTGTTAATGAAAGAAATGAGTTCACTAACATATTTCTAGTTTATGGTGAACTGAACGGATCAGTTTAAAGTAGGGAACGTGAACAACAGCGACGTTCACTCTGAGAATAATGAGCAAAACACAGTTCGCGTTTGGGTTCATTTCATAACGACGCCTTTCATTGGATAAAGTCAGGTTCTACAGCACCTAATACAGCAATAAGCATGACAGACTACCATTTCTTCTCCTCCCGTCGGCTCGATTCATACTCATCTACTGATACTTCTGATGGCAGGTTAGCAGAGTTCTATGATAAAACAAAAGAACTCGGACAGAAAAAACACGTTTTTCTTAGGGGCGATTCGATTCAGTGTCGATTTCCTGACCCAACGATTCTATTATTTTCGATACTCAAGAATACACCACGATTCGGTTCGATTAATCGATTAATTTTTAGTTATTTTATTATTTTTTTAAGACCTTGCAGTCTAAACAAATTTTCAAGTTTGAAATAAATCAATGAAAGCTGTAATATCGTTATGCATTTTTTTTTTTAGAAACAACAGCAAATAACAGAAGTAGAAAAGTTGCATCAAAAAATACTGCAAAAATACTGCACATAATCAGTGCAATGAGTGCAATGCAAATACCTCGGCTCCAGACGTCCCTCTACCCCCACCCTCTCCACAGACGCTCTGCTGCTCCTCTCCCAAATTGTAGCTGACCGCAAACAGTACCGCAGACAAGAGGCCAGCTTGTTTTGTTTTATGACCGAAATTGCGGAAAACAACTCATGAAGTTTGACCCGCTAGAAAAGCGAGGTGCGCGAGAACGCTGGGAGCCTTTTTCCACCTGGATCTCCGCTCTTTTTGGCCCTCATGTCCCTCCGTCGTCAGACAAAATTCGCCCCCAGTTCCTCACCGCCTCGGCCGTATCTAGACCCACAGTGTGTAGCACAGACCACGCTTCAATATTGAGCATAATTTAAAAATGTCTGTATCAAGCTTGCTACAACACACTGCTGTAAGAGTATAACCAGGAAGCTAGGTAGGAGGGCAAAATAGGTTTAGCGCCACCGCAGCACGGGAGGGAGAATTATGCCCAGGAGCAAATGGATAAAAATAGACCGGAGGAAAAAAAAACATTAATCGATTATCTTGTGGACCTATTGATGCATCGGATTGTCGGCTGCATCAATAGGTCCTGAAATATTTTGTATCGATGCATCGATACAAAACGATTATTATTTACACCCCTAGTTTTTCTGCAAACTGTGCCGACTTGGACTTAACAAACAAGTCCGTGCATCAGCTACGGGGTTAAAGCATCCAGGCTATCTTGGGAAATATCTGCTACTGAATGAGGAACAGAAGACATTTTTTTGATACAGATCGTTTCAACAGAACCTGAGTGTTCCTGTATGTTTCTAAACTTGTGTATAATTTGGCTAAATAAAGGCTTCAGTGCACATAAAGTATACCTTCACTACATCGAGTATTTTCTATTTCATTCTATATATTATGATCACACATTTAAAGGGTGAAATATGAGGTTCTATTGTTTACTATATGAACTTCAACTAGTTCGTTTATAGGTTTGTGAACTATGAACGTGAGATAGAACATTTTCATCTGTGTGAACTGAACTTTGAGCTCATTCTTTTTAACTATGAACTGTAATCTCACTGCCCTTTACAATTATGTATGTATTTGGGTGTGTATATGCTGAGTTTACGAGAAAATAAATTTTTTTACTGGAAAAAAGAACGTAAATAGAGGCTGTCCTCTATATTGTGACCTTTCGTGTCAGAATATTTTGTCCACATTATCTGTTAACCAAAATGTGCATTTTGACGTGTTTTTACGTCAAAGTTTTAGGAATTTTAAAGAATAGAATCTGTGACATTTTAAACTTTTCACTATAACAATTCAATCCTTCTTCACTCTTTGTAATCAACTTTGATAATGAAAACTTTTTCAGCTCTAATGTTATTTGTCCTCCTCTCAGGTTCCATGAAAATGTCGAGCTCCGACAGCTACTTCTACGCAGCCATCGTAGCTGTGCTCGCCGTTCACGTGGTCTTGGCTCTGTTTGTTTATGTCGCCTGGAACGAAGGCGCGCCTAAAAGCAAGGGCAAACATGATTAAGGCAAGCACTTATCAGCTTCTGAGGCTGCTGGAGATGGACAGACTGCGGGCGAGGATCCACAGTCCTGTCTCCCGTGGGCAACAACACTCAACGCTGCACCATCTATGAACCAGACACGTTGGCAGGGAGGGGATCTGGCTTGGCTCCGGATTTAACCCCAGGGTTAGAGTAGGAAGTCGTGTATATTCTCTGACGCGGGGGTGCAAAGACCAGAGGGTGCAATTTTATTGCCAGGCCCCAGCAGGCATAATTTTGTTCCCCCACATAAAATGGTTTCTTTTCTTTTTTTTGGCTGAGGACAGTTTTTTTTATTTTTTTATGCTTTGTCCTCAGATACTGATTGGCTCAGGGCTCTGAGTCCCTTCACACTAAGAGTTTATGTCAGAATTCGCCTGTACTTGTTTTTTTTTTTGTTTTTTTTATATAGAGTTTGATCATTTTGAATAGAGAAAACAGCTGATTCCTCTGTCCTTACTTTTAAAGTCCTTGTCCAAATAAATTAAAGGTTTACTTCTGTATTTTGGAACAAAGTCTCGTAGGCATGTTATTTATATGGCCTCATTGTTCTCTGTTATTCTCAATAACATGTTTTTCATTGCTGATTTGAAAGTGTTTGTCCGCTGGAGTGGAGGTGATGTTATAAAGCATAGATTAGAAATCACTGTTTTTGCTTAAACTATTTCTTTGTTCTGAAGATGTTACTTGACATTGATGTAATACAAGTAGGTTTGATGAATTGCTTGAATAAACTCAAAATTTAAGCCTTTTATTTTTTGTATGTTTTGTTTCATTAGAGTTTATCATCTATTGTTTGAGATTTTGCAGTTAAATAATTATTAATCCTGTTTTTTTTACTTTTATATTAAACTGAATGTGCATAATTTGCAAAGTTCAGCTAAAGAGAGTTCAGACTTTTGAAGTGAGGCTTGGTTAAAAGCTTATAAGTAGGGATGAAGCGGTTAATGATATTAATTTGTTATTCAAATAATCATGAACTAATTTGGGAATTGGTGCACACACTCTATAACACGCCAACTGCTAAAAAAAAAAAGGTACCCTACAAAGATGTACAAGATTTTCATTTACAGGGTTCCCGCGGGTCCTTAAAAAGTCTTAAAAGGCATTGAATTCTTCAAAATAAAACTAAGGCCTTAATTAGTATTAAAATGTCTTAAATTATTCTTTCATAGGTCTTATTTTTTTTAAAACATCATAAATAGGATTATTTTTATTACGATTTATTTTTGTAATCTAAATAAAACATTAAAATTGAACAAATTTTAGTTTTTCAAAATTTGAAACATTAAAATAAACCTTTGGGTTAAGTTGTCGCAAGCAGGTTTTTCTTGTGTTTCTTGTGAATTTGGTCTTAAATTTTTATTTCAAGTGGCATTAAAAAGTCTTAAAAAGTCTTGAATTTAACTTGCCTTATGCTGTAGGAACCCTGATTTAAGATTAAAATATATATGTCTAGAGAGATGTATATACACTACTCAAAAATAAATGGATCACATAAACAACATAACAAAACTTCAATGAAATCAACCTTCTGTGAAATCAAACTGTCCATGATGTGCAATTGGAATAGACAACAGGTGGAAATTAATGACAATTGGCAAGATACACTAAATAAAGGAGTGGTTCTGCAGGTGGGGACCACAGACCCCAACTCGGTACCTATGCATTCTGGCTGAGTTTTTGGTCACTTTTGAATGTTGGTGGTGTTTTCACACTCGCGGTAGCATGAGACAGACTCTACAACCCCAGGAAAGTGGCTCGGGTAGTTCTCATAGATGCGATCTGTCATAATAAGGTTTGCTATGTCTGTTAGCATGAAAAGGCTGGAAGTGCTACCAGGAAACAAGCTAGTAAACTAGGATATGTGGATGAGGTAGTAGGAGGGCAACAACCCGTCAGAAGGACAGCTACCTCTGCCTTTGTTTAAGGAGGAACAGGAGGAGTACTGCTAGAGCCCTGTAAAACGACCTCTAGAAGTCCACAAATGTACATGTGTCTGCACAAACGGTTAGAAACTGACTCCAAGAGGATGACAAAAGGGCCCAATCCACAGATGGATCCGGGCCTACAGCCCAATACTCTGCAGGATTGACAAATTCGCCGCTGGTGCTCTTCACAGATGAAAGCAGTTTCACACTGAGCACATGTAACAGACATGACAGAGTCTGGATACACAGTGCTGCTTGCAACATCCTTCGGGCTGACCGGTTTTGGCAGTGGCTCAGTAATGATGTGGGATGTTATTTCTTTGGAGAGCCACACATCCCCCTATGTGCTCGCCAGAGGAAGCATGACTGCCATTAGGTCCTGAGATGAGATCCTAAGACCGCTTGTGAGACCATATGCTGGTGCGGTTGGCCCTGGGTTCCTCCTAAAGCAGGGCGATGCTAGACCTCATGACTGGAGTGTGTCAGCAGTTCCTGCAAAGCGAAGGAATTAAAGCTAAGGACTAGCCCACCTGCTAACTAGACCTGAATCAGATTGAGCACATCTGGGACATCATGTCTCAACCATCCATCAATGGATCCACAGATTTTCCAAAAGTTGGGAGGTAATACAGACAAATGAGGGCCACACACAATACTGAGCTTGATCCGTTTTAAGGACATTCTATCAAAATTGGATCAGTCTGTTGTTTGTTTTTCCACTTGGCGTGTGACTTCAAATCCAGGCTGCCATTGGTTAAAAAAATGTGATAATTTTTGTGATTTGTTTTCAGCACATTCAACCTTTTGCAGAACAAAGTATCCAATGAGAATCTTTCATCGATTCATATCTAGGATGTGTTATTCCAGAGTTTAAAGCAGTGTATTAACATATCTATGTATATGCACACACATTACATGTTTTTTTGCCATTTATAGTTTATTTAAAATACTTAGAACTTTTGTTTTCCAAATTCCAAATGTTTGTTTTTTAGCAATGTTAATTTCATTCAACATACTGTATCTACATATTTTGATGATTTATTTAGAAAAATAAAAGCTGCAGCCCTAGTTATAAGCTGCACACATCTGCATTGGATAATTATTTATAGGGTTATTTTTAGTTACAGGTGCACTTTGTGCTTTTCTAGGTTGTTATTTGCTGCCCCCTAAACCTTATGACAACCCTGATTTTAAATGCAACCTTCTCAATTATTCCCCTTTTTAATGGTTAGGTAAAATTGCTACCAGGCTCAGGTCCCTTATAATTATAGACCTGAAGTAATGCTTAAAACAAAGTTCAGCAATATGTCAGAAAACCTAGATTGTCTTAAGCTCTGTCAGACCTCACATGGTTCTGATTTTAATTAAAAGTAAAGACATTAAGTTGCTGTTGTGGGATTAGCTGGCATACTCATGTTTTTAAACCAACAGAGAAACAAGCGTACTTTGTGAACTGGCTGGTAAGTGTATGTTTTTACATTGTTTAGGCAGGAGGTTATTGTTAAATCAAGAATTTTTTTTTTTTTTTACTTTATTCTCAAAAGAAAAACCATCAATGTGAGTGGTTATATTCAGATTAACTTCCTATACCAAAGGTTAATTAGGTATTAGTAAAACCTAATCTCAACTAATCTGCTGTATGAACAGGTTTGAGGTTTAATTTACACTAACAGCTATTATTGGAAACCTAAATGATGTAAATGTATGCCCAGTAGTTGTAAAAATGCAACAAGGTAAAAAAAAAAGAAAGGCAACAACCCTTTTGCTTAAATTGTAACATCATCATTAAAAATCCCCTTAGTCCTAAAAATTGTTTATAGTTGAAAAAAAAAGTCTGACCTGAAACAGCAACCTTTCTCAGGTGCTGCACTGCTGACTACACCCATTGTCAAATAGCTCATGTGTATAACTGTGGCCCTGACATTATTTCTGCGAAGCAGAGAGAAAAATAAAAACAAAAAGCCAGCTCTTATCTGATGATTTTTAAAAGCTGTAGCCTTTAAAGGCTAAGGTTGGATAAATGCTTGGATTTACCTTTCTAGTTTTTCTTTTCGTCATGTCACTCTCCCTTAAGGGAAGTGTTTCCTAATCTTTTTTGACTTTGTCTCTCAGGCAAAAGTATTGGTGATTGTCCAAAAGTGGAATATACAATAACTCATTATAAAAAAAAAAATATATTTTTTTTTTACTTAATCTTTTAATTTGATCATTTAAATCTTAGGATTTGTATACTTCCATCTCTAATAAAAATTAAAAAAAAGCATTAATATGTTGCCTGGAAGTTAGTAAGGAATTGACATAAATATAACATAAAATGATATTATAAACCTGTATTTATAAAGTTGGAGCTCCTCTGAGTAACTCCATTATAATCAGATTTAAACTTGATGCATTGGGAGCAAAATACAGAACAAAACTAAAATCAGACTGAATTAATTGGTTTTATTTTGTTTTCACACCTGAGCTGCTTTAATGAGCTCAGATAGACCAGTGAGAAAAACAGCTGATCTCAGGCTATTATTTACATCCAGTCTGTTCTTCTGCTTCCTTTGGATGTGTGTCAAAGCTGAAGATGAACTCAAACATATAAGAAAAACTTGCCTTTTGGTTGATAACATATTTTTTTTCATTTTGCAATCTGTTCCTCAGAAAGCAGAACAGATCCCAGCCCTATTTTATTTTACTACCTAATAAATAAAATATTTTCATGTACCCCTTGCAATGCACTCACACACCACTAGGGGTACGCCTACCCCCAGTTGGGAATCACTGCTTTAGGGGATGATAGAGGTTTTTACCCCACAGAATATGGAAATCCCAATAAGCCCCCTTGACCCCCCTCCACTCCCACTCCCACTCCCACCCATTTCCTCGAACCCAGAGCCTTGGCTCTACTTTTCTATCAATAAAACTATAGATTTATTTATTTTATTTATCTTAATATGTTCCCAGATTAGATTTCAGAAATCTGGTCACCTTACTTCCACCTCCTCTTCCTCTGAGGATTATTGTTTGCTTGTGTTAAAATGCCTGGAGATGTAAAAATCATTTAATGCTTTGTAAAATTGCGTCTACTTAAACAACCATGGACTTGTTTTAAGTGAGAAGTTTGCTTTGGTCTAAATCTTTGTGAAACTAGCAGTTAGCTTTAGACTCTTAGTAAGGTATCAAGTGCTTATAGGCTTTTAACGGTAACGTGGTTTAAGAACTATCCCTGCAGAAAAAAGGATTTTTTTGTGCAAAGTTCAAGTTTACTTTTTATGAATAAGAGCATTGTAATAATAAGCAGCTTGTGGTTTATAAACTATCTCTGTGTATTCACAAAAACCCTCTTATCTTTTAAAGGATCTGCTGATTGAAATCTTGGTTGAACTTTTTTTTTTTAGGTCTGCGCATGATCAAGCTGTATCACCACCAAGAGGCTGTGACTTCTCCCAACCCTCTGTTGTGTAAGTCGGTCCGTCACCAAAAAAAGCATGAGCACACATATCAGTCCTGTGTTTGTGAGAGTTGCCCTTCTGTGGTTGGCTTTGTCATAGACAGTGTTTATCCCACAAGCATATTTAACTGTCACAACATTAACAAGCCCGTCAGGCAGTAATCTAGTGGTACAATGAAAGCAACTGTGATTGATCACTCTTCCCATGCCACAAAAATGTACTAGGGCGAATGAAAAATAGGGGGGAAAAAAGTTCCGATCATGTCAAATTAAAAAATATATCAAACTTCCGCACAGAATTAACACACTTTTCCTGTGGTCTAAAAAAACACTGGGGTAAAATGAATCCATTCAGGAGTAACAACACAATCTTTCA